TGTAGGTAGTGTCGAAAATCTGCCATCATCGAGATACGAACCATAGGCCGTCTAGGTTAGAGGCATAACCTTGACATTAATTGAAGTCCTGAACCATATCACACGGTGTCACGATGTGATGTAATTAGTTTCGGAGTATGGAATTACCAAAAACAATGCCGAATACTGATTATTATTATTATTATTATTATTATTATTATTATTATTATTATTATTATTATTATTATTATTTACACGGTTTATCACTACTGCAAAGATCCCTGAATCGGTGTACGCAGAATATTTCCAAACGGTATGTCTGACATTTTCCTCACAAGCTTCTCATAGGGGTTAACAAAAGTTATTTAAATCAATATTTTGTATCTACATTTATATACCCGATTGACTTACTAATGTCGTTCTCTCGCGTCCCAAGTAAATTGCGACGCGCACGTGACAAAGTTGCCATTCGTTTGTTGCCGGCGGTCGAAAGCCATGAAAAAGCAACCTGGGACCGCAGGGTTGTCGTCGTGTCGTCCGTTGCCGCGCGAGTGGGAGTGCCGCGCTCTATCTGTCGTCCATCTAGGACACGCCTCGTGCTCGCCCCGCCCCCCCACCATCGCCCTCGCTGCCGCGAGCGGCGCGGCCCAATCGATGGGCGGCGTGCGCGCGCGCGCGTGTCCCGGCGACTTCGGTCACTCGGGGCGGCTTGGTCGAGGTCACCGGCCCAGCTCTGCGTGCGCACGCCGGGCAACAGGCGGCTGTTTACTCAGCACATCGCTGCAATATTGACGCAGAGGTTTGAATCATTTTAATGACAATATCAGGATTGAGAAAAGGGGAACCAAAGCAATGTCCAACTCGAAGTCAGGATTCAAAGAATACTTTATAATTCGTATAGTTATGTTGTTTTAATGTGGAATTTGTCGTTTGATATATGTAGGCCGGAAATTGGAGTAATTTGAGCATGATAATATTTGCAACCACTGAATTTCAAATTTTTATGATAATCAAAAAAATAAATTTTACGTTTCGAGGAAAGAGCCATGATTTTCCGTCATGATTTTCCGATTAATCTACCTTACGTAGTAGAGAACGTTAGTTCCTGTGGTCAGAAGTATTCGACATTGATGTGTATATCGTAGCTCATGCACTGGATTCTAATATTAGGTGGCTTTGATGTCCAAGTGTTGGACCCCTATACCCTCTTATCATACGAACCCCTTTGTGCTCATGGACCCGGAAGGCTGACAACTGGATATACGCCTTAAGGCGGTCCCAAACTACGCCACCCGTGAGCTTTGGGGCCTGAGTAGGGCACCCCAAGGAGTTACCAGCCATGAGAAGGTTGAAGATACGCTCTTCTCCCTGGAGTCGGACGATCTCCTCACGTCGAAACTGAAGACCAACTGAGAACCCTCGCTGCTGGAGGCCGGGGCTTTCCACACAGCACCCACTAACGACGCAGGTATCGCGGAGAAATCAGAATCCGGGTGACGATTAGAATCCGCCACTACAGCACGAGCCACGCTTTCTCCCCCTGCGGTGGCGGGAGTATCACGATGAGAAAATTCATTAAATATAATTCCAATGCAGAAAAGAAGCCGCTCAAAAATAAAAAAAATAAAAACTTGTTGTTGAGACATTGCCGGCCAAATTATTTCGAATTTGGCGCCTTGTCTTCTTTAACAGGGCGTTTGATGTTCCTTGAATGCGTTTCAAGGGAAAAGATATACATTTTGAACTTGGCTTTCCGAGATAGTCTTAATTTTCTCCAAAAAGCCGCGCGAATTTCTTCTCTGCCGACCAAACATTCATTTTTCATGCAAAGTCCTTGGAGTCGATTACTTAACTTCTTTCTATTAGTTCGGAGCGTCATCGAAAGATCGCACAGCTCCTGGATAGCTAAAAATCCCGGCTCAAATTGGAATTGTCGAAATGAGTTCTCTATCGAGACGCCGGCTTCGCTTGTTACGACAAGCTCATGCGGAAAGCTGAGTAAAAGCGTTTTGAACGTCTTCAAGGTTGGACCCAGAGGTGTGACAGGCACTGGATGTAGTAGAATCGTAGCTAAAAGGCCAACGGAATTCGTAAGGAAAGGCTCAGTTTTCCGTTTGGACAGAGTTAACTGTGACAAACTTCTCCAAGACTCGTTAATTCTTTCTCCAAGTAACAATCCTTGTCAATTGTGTGTCATCTCTTTTCCAGAACGCTCTTGTCTGACAATCCCTCAGAATGTTACAATTTTGACCGTTGTATTTTACCGCGGCTCTCGTTTTCAGCACCGCAACCGTCTGGTACGAAGTTCCGCTGTGGGCGCTTTAGCCTGTGCGCTTAAACCTCTGAATTACCTTTCCGACAACGTAGACGTCGTGTTATTTTATGGAAGAAAAACAACAAAATGAACACTTCGCAATCAATTCCAAATTTTAAATCTTTGTCACTACATAACACCGATTTCACAGGATCAATCTAAAGGATATCAGATATGCTTGTGTTAAATATTAAGGTTAAATATTGATTCATTTCTCAAAGAAGGGTTCTAAAAATCTCAGACTCAATCACTCTGCTGAGTAAAATCCTGATTTCCTCCAGTAACGTGCACCTACTCCGATAATCAAGTCTGAGCCCCGGTGGGATGCACATATCGGGTGGCCAATTCGCGAATAATAATAATAATAATAATTATTATTATTATTATAATTATAATATTACGGGTACTAAACCCAAACCATCCTCTTCATTTATAAGTTTTGAAAATATTTTCTCTACATTTTTCTGCAAAGGTTTGGAGAGAATCGCGCTGGCGACGGGCAGGTCGGCGTGGGTTCTCTCCGGCGGGGAAGAACATGCTCTACACTTATGGGACAAACGGCTTTAAAAACATCGTGACAATTTTACCAAAAGAGTAAACAAGAATTTCCTGAAAAGAGTTCCATTGATTTGTATTTTCTAGGCAGATGCGCCACTTTGCACCAAAGTGACATAAGCGATGAAAACAACTCAGTTGTTTCACCGGCGGTCAGACGAGAATATTTATATTACATTCCTATTTCGTTCTTTAGTGCATTTTTATGGGTATGCATACTTTACATGATATCTAACCAAATTTTCGATAACATAAAATCTTCTCGGGTTTTCACTAGGGATGCTGTAATCTTCAAATGATAGCGAAACGGAGGAAATTGAGGGCCGTGTCTCACATCGGGATTGATATAAAAATGAAGTGTAGGCAATTCCAAGAACGGTAATGTTTGGCAGCAAATATTTGTGACCATTTGCCCTCATTACGAAGCTGAATAAGATGTACCAACGAGCAAACCTCTTTTACGATATTTTGTGGGCAATCATTAGATGATTATGGGTCTTGTTAAATAGAATGCAGAGGGGGTAGTCTTTTTATACGATGTCATAAACGATTACGAATAATGTTCGTTGATTTGAAATTAGAAATATTTAATTTTCTCTTGTCGAAAATTAGAGAATTAGAGCAGACAGTAATCATGTTTTTTAAGAAAAAGGTTTTTTAGCTTTGATAGAATTATTTAATTACGCAGTTAATGAAAAAAATATTACTCTGATCATCAAACGAAAAATTCAATTTTACAATTTTGTATTTAGCAGCATGTTAAATTTGCTGTTACATCGTAGCAAAGAAAATTACATTATCTGCCTTACAAGCAATTATAATACTTGGTAACCATATAAAATATGTATATCAAATTCGTTTTAGATTCATACTGTCTTAAATAGACAGCAACCATTTCGAAACTAAAAAGTAATGCAACTGTGTGTAACAGTCCGTCCTCTCGCAATTGCTCTTTCAGTTTCTGCGCTTCTGTTCCAATTGCGCATTCTCATGGCAGCGAAGAACGAGCAGTCGCAGAACGAGTCTCATCCTCCCCTCCCACGCGAGTGGCTCGCGCGCGGCTCTCGAGGTCAGTCGAAGTGCAAAACGCTGTGCAGGCCCGGTTTAGTTGAAGGAGGTGCCCGTAAACGGCGTTCAAGAGGGCAGGAGGCACATCTTCACGCAATAGGACTCCAGTAGAAGTTTTCTCTTCTGTCCACAAGAGCACGAGACACGGACGATTAACTCACGAGTTCCTCTAGGAGGAGGAAAGGTGGGCAGACATTTTAGAGAGCCTTCCGTCGATTTTGCGACAGTTGAATGCGCATGTAGCTTAAAACTGAGTAAATAGCAACCGTCTGAAAAAATCCTTTTCTCTCCTACGTCAAAGCAAATATTTTATTTGGTACATTGAGAAGGACATTTATAAAGGATATCCTTCTTTCCCGTGAGAAGCCACATTCTTCCTAAGTGCTTTGAATGATGTGAAAGTTTGATCAAGGTCTTGCAGAAATTTTGGGAATAAATCCCAGATCTCAATTATCTATACGATTTGTTTGAACACCTCATCTGGATAATCTCGATTTTCAAAATCTAGTATTTAAGACGTTTCTCTTACTCTTCTACACTTTGAGCTCAAGCTACAGCAAGATCTCCACCTATCCACATGATTATTTCTCAAAATTTTGAATATGAATATACTGATTTTTTGCTGCTATTGTACGAGTAAAATGAGAAATGAAATTAAACTGTCGTGGTTTTTGAAGAAATATGACTAATTGCATTTCACATGAACATGTGGCTGTCCTGTGACTCTTCGGATTACAAATGTCTTTGGTTTCATTCTTATATTTTACTTACTGAACACTTACTAAAAGAGCTCAATATTGTGGGTTTACAGATGTAATCAAAGAGAAATGTCACATATTTGTGATTACGTTGAAAGTTTTGCGGTAAAATAATGTTATAATTTTTAAAATGCATTTCGTTTCGATGGAAAGTTTTGTCATTTCGTTGGCAGGTAGGAAACCCGTAAAACCCGAAAAATTGACTGTTAATAAAAAATGTGACTATTTTTACTTTGCCCTATAATTTTCATTGTGGTTATTTGGCAGAGAGTATTGGAGAGGCAGTGTTCCATGCCAACCTGAGAGTTGCGTTCGTGTGTGCGCAGCGGCGGGATGTACGGCGGGCCGCAGTTGGCGTACGTGGGCGGGCCGCAGCCGCCGCCGCTCATGCCCGCGCTGCGCCCCGGCGCCGAACCCAGGGGCCACGGCAAGAAGCTGGCCAGCCGCTGTCGCCTGCTGCGCACCAGCCTCTCCTACCAGACCAAGCAGTTCTTCGACAACAGCACCCTGCACGGCGTGCGCTACATCCGCGAGGAAGGGCGGCCGTTTTGCGAGAGGTGAGAATTGTATGTCTCCGCCAAGCACTGTGGTAATTAGTCCCGTTAGTGCAGTGCGTGATACAATTCGCGGCGGTAGTCGTTGAATGAGAGTTCTGGCGCCGACCTGAACGTAGCTGTGGACGTGAGGGGTTTCCGCCTCTAAGGTATTCATCATTATTGAGCATTTGAACGTCAGCCTTGCCCTCCGCGAATCCCCACTGTCGTTTTTACACCCTAGAAAAGTTTCACCCGTCTCCATTCGGTAACTCTGCTGTGATTCGTGTGTTTATTGCCATCATGAACTGTCTATCGCTAGCGGCTCGTAAGCGCTTATTATTGCACTCTTATTACTTTTGTCATGTCGACCAGGCGGCGCTCAATGAGAGCTGCTCACGGGCCCCTCGCGGAGCTTCCTCTTCAAAGAGAGGACTAGAAAGGAGTAGGGTATTGAAGGCGCTACATGATGGTTTGGATGAGGGCGAGATCGAACCCGCAGACCCCGCAGCTCGGGGCTTGTACCGCGAATGCTGCGCTGCGGGGCCGCCAGGGGCGAAGATCTTTTCTTGCGCGTAAGAAGTGTTGGCTAAAGAAATGCTGTGTTTGCGTTGGAGGTTCATGTGGTTCTGCTTCACGTCGATCGGCGGCGTGGCCACGCTCATCATCATCGCATCCCTGTGGGAGAAGTTCCAGACCAACCCCACCATCACCGGCCTCGACACCGACTTCCACAACTGGGACGTGCCCTTCCCGGCGGTGGCGCTGTGCCCGGTGCACGCGGGAAACCACTCGGCCATCGAGGAATACGTGCAGGCGTGAGTCTCTCTTCGGGTCTCTGCTCTTTTATTCAACATATTACACAGAGGCCGATGTTGTTATGTTCGAATTCTAAGTACAATTGTAAGTACGAGGTTTGTCCTCCAGTTAACACAATACAACAGTACCGTACCTCTGATCAAATATGTATTTTTTTTTCTTGTAATGGTGCTTCCCATAGCATACTGAGAATTGTTTTTACATTATGTTAATAATGGAATTATATATAGGGAAAATGCTACGTTCCTAATACGCTTTAGCTACTAAAAATCACATACATATCAAATACACATATATATACATACATCACATACATAACTCCCCTTGATGTGCAATATGCTATATTGTTTTGTGTTCCTTTCCGACTCCGAACTGTCTTGTGAGTACATTATAATTACGAGCTATTATTACCAATTTATTTTTAATTCATAATATCCCAAGTATTATGTCACGTGACAATCTGTGTGTGTATATATATATATATATATATATATATATATATATATATATATATATATATATATATATAAAATCTTTAATAATGCGCCTCTTGCAATTCTGATTTAAATACGGCATAAGCTCCGAAGTAAATCTAGTTTCGTGTTGATACATCAACCATTTTCAGTCATATTGAACAAGACGAGGAATGTGTTAAATTCGTGAACCATCAATCTCTCTAAATATTGTTTCAGTAATTACGAGGGCGACCCGGACGTTTTGGAGTTTCTGAATGCTGTGGCAAATTTTTCCTATCGTGGGATACCGGCCTTTAAGAACATCGTGGAGAAGAAAAAAGGAATGCTGACCGATAAACCCCTACGAGAATATCAAAAAATGGTACGTTATTGTTACGTGTATAATTGTACAAATAATCAAGTATTGTACCGACAATGAAAAAAACAATTATTAAAAAATTGCATTTTTAGTTTAAAGCTTTCTTTGCCGATAGGCTAATATGAGAACCATCTCCATGTCATATTGTAGTGAAGTCCGAAAGAGCACCCTGCTTACAGCAGTCCGCCGGCCGCCCGCAATCTTTTCTTCGGTTTACCAACCCACGATTCCATTCATCTCATCATATCATCCCATCATCTTATAACAGCTGAGGCTATTCAAAACCTACCTAGAAGATCAATAGTGCAATAGTGCATATTATTACATCAATATTTAATGCAATACTAATATGTCCTACTTCCCTCCACATTGGGAAATGGCAAAAATTACATTTTTTTCCCAAACGCCGAAAAAGATTCCCTTCCTCTCACTTTCTACCGACCCATCAGCATGTTACCAATTATCTTCGAAAGAGTGTGAGAAGCTCATTCTGGAACGAATTCTACCAACCTTAAAAGAAAACGAAGAGATTCCTGGCCATCAATTTGGATTCCGACAACCACATTTAACAATTGAGCAAGTTCACAGAATAATAAACGTGAACCACGAAGACTTTGAATCAGAAGATATTGCTCACAGGTATTTCTAGATATGTCATAAGCCTTTTAACAAAATATGGCATCAAGAGCTGTTATAGAAAATCAAGAAAATATTTTCATTCTATCTCTTCACCCTTATCAAATCCTATTTAACAAATAGATTCTTCCAAGTAAAATATAAAGCAGCTCTGTCCTCATTTTGACCAATAGAAGCCTGAGTTCCTCAAGGAAGTGTGTTGGGATCCATATTGTATCTCATATTCATTAATGATATACCAACCTCAATGTTGTATCAGCGACCGTCGCCCATGATGCGGCAGTACTAGCATCCAGCGAAGATTACAAATCAGCAAAAAAATCACAAGAAAACTACATGTAAAAAACAGTAGCTTTCTTGTAGGCACATGAAAATCAACAAATTAAAATCTAAAGACATTCCCCCTAAGAAAACGCGTCTATTCAGCAATAACAATAAATAGATCCCTCAAAGTAACGAAGTAAAATACTTAGGTTAAACAGCCCCAAGTATCACTGTCAAACATCATACTTATATATAAAAGTATCCTGCACCCCACATGGACCTACGGCATTCAACTTTGAGGTTCAGTTAGCGCCTGCAACATCGAAATTCTCCAGCGATTCCAGTCCAAATAGCTTCTATCAGTAACAAATGCGCCCTGGAATGTCAGCAGCGAAGTACGCAATGTCAACAGCGAACGTCAACCCAAGACCATCAAAGAATGAATAACGTTCGCGAGTCAGAAATACCACACAAGACTGGAAAATTATTCTCGCAATCTATTAGACAATAGAGAAGAAACAAGATGACTATAGCGCCATAAATCGCTAGATATAACGTACCGATTTGCCGATTTGTTTAAATAGGAATGATACTGTTGTGTAACATTTCCCTCAAAGTCTAATAGTAGTTTATGCAATTTGTTTATAATGTGAAGTTATATTGCATGGCTACACGTTTTGAAAACGAGAGACGTTAGGAGCGAGTTATCAAATTTGTACAAATGCAATTAAACAACACTATAAACGAGTTCACTGTAAACTACTGTGTACTACTTCTGGGTACTAAGCGAGTATGTGTTGAATGCCGAAGGTTCCTTTCCGAGCATTGGGGCGCTCAGCATGACCTAACCTACCACTTCCCTGCTTGGGCTACCGGCGAGATCGAATAGAGCCCGATATGTAGATTTCCGGACGCCGTCAAAGAGCGACGACAGCAGCGGGGACCCGCGCTACTCTACTGGATTGCTTGGGTAGATGGGTTGAAACAGTCTGCGTTGAGGGATGCATTAGGCTATTAAATACTATCATATTTATTCATTTGGGAAAGTACGAAGAAATGATTAGCGGTGAAGCGTGGCGTGTGCATGAACATTGTGCGTGTCGTTCGCAGTTCGTCAAGTCGTGCGAGGGGATGTTTCTGAAGTGCGAGCTCCGCGCGCAGAGCATCGACTGCTGCGACTACTTCCTGCCCATGCCCACTGAGGTGGGCTTCTGCTACGTGTCCAACTCGCGTCTTGCGTACGTCGCCAACAAGTAAGTCAAAATGAATTTTAAAAAGTCGAAGTATGGCATTTCATGTGTTAACGTTCCTGGTCGCTTGAATTTCAATGTTTGAAGTCTATTTACCAATGGTTTGTTTTACACCATTGTAGAAATGAATCAATACCGGCTGTTAGTGGTACAATTAGCATATACTTGCAGTAATGTGTGACAATTATAAAATTAATATATTGTATTAGTACAGAAGCAATTAAAATGCGTTGAAACACACAAATGGAACATGTCAATTGTTTAGCAATTCTCGTAGCGCTTAATTTGTGCGTGCCTTTGAAACGTTCGCTGACTTGAAATGTGTTGAAGCTGACGTTGCTCTGAGGTGGCACTGCTTGCACTGCTTTCCAGCAACGCGTCCTTCAGCACGCGCTACATCCGCGAGACGGACGAGAAGTGGGCGCTGAAGGTGGACATTCAGCGCTTCCCAGAAAAGGGGCCGGTGGAGCCCATCCTGGTAAGGCCTTGAGCACGATGCGCTTTTACTCCGGACGCATTTTATAGAATTCGAACATTTTTTGTTTAGCTAATGTGACTGTGAAATAATAGAGAGAGGTAATTTTGATTTATTAACACTAAGTATTGTAAAGACAGTGGAAGGAATATATAGTTAGTAACTAAAAGTAAAAAATAGTATATATTAGAGAAATATGGTATACATGTGGGTCAGTATATCATTTGAACCGTTGAAAGCAATAGTGGTGTAAGTCAAAAACATATTTTGCGAAAAATGAGTAAATAAAAAACGCTGTAAAATTTTAATGCTCAGAAATAAATGACCTAAAATGTAACGAACGTGCTTATTCTTTAAACTCTATTTTTGCACACTCCGTTCCTGAAAACTATGACTTATATTCAAATAATTGACCTGCATAATTTTGGACTGCGATAGCAATATGATGGAAAAATAGGGAAACAGAGTGATATTAATGCACGAGCATAATAAGAATGTAAACAATGTATTTATTCACTATGTTTAGATATTTCATACCATGTAAATTATAATTAGTTAATATCGCGAAAAATGAAGTAGAACTTGTTAACTATTACTAAAAGTTTTACATTTAGCCACTAAGAATAAGCATTTCCGTGAAGGGTGAGTGAGCAGTGCTCAGATTGTTGACAAGTTAGTCGAGACAACAGGTTCTTTCTCAACTTGAACTTGTTTTAATAGTCCCATATCTTCTTTTACTAGGAATGTTTTTAAAGAGTAGAAATAATTTTGGTGCACCGGAGGTATGATTGGCAGAAGCTTAATCGTGTCTCTTTTTTGTTTTGCTTAGGTTACAGGCTACAGTTAGGTTCTCCTCGAAGAAACCGCATCCACTTTATTTCAAGCCAATTTACTTTGGCTTCTGCATTATTAACCTTTCTTACAATTGCTTTTTCAAGCTGAAAAGTGGACTTAGAAACTGCTTGGGCCGTTCCACGTACTATTCTTCTTTCGAACTGAACCGATGATATTATATCAGAGGGAACATAATGAATTTTATTTTTGCCAGCTAGCTTTATGTTGTCAAAATCAGTCATTTGTCAAAAGTGAGTCCCCTGATACAAAAAATGTGGTGAATATTGTTTAAATTATTGGCTTTGTCACGGTTTTCATCCAAGCGAGAGCAATTTTGAAGTTGTGATTTTGACTTGTGCCCATAAAAACTATTATATGTTGTTGTTTTTTTTTCGAGATGCTTCTTGCGCGATGGCTACAAATAAATAAGACTCCATTTCTTGGGAGCTCCCACCTCTGACTTCCCCACAAGTGCATGTGCCTATTCCAAAACGTTGGTGGCTGAGGAGGGGGGGTGGGGGGCGTTTGCGCGCAGGTGTACATCCAGAGCAACGACGAAGCGCCCATCGTGGACGTGTCGCCGCAGCACGAGTGGATGTACCAGCTGAAGAAGCTGTCCTTCTCCGCCAAGCAGACGTACACCACTTCGGACGCGCGCCAGCTGTCCATCCGCCAGCGCCGCTGCGTCTTCCCCGACGAGATCAAGCTCGACACCGACTCCATCTACACGTACACTTCGTGCATGAGCCAGTGCCGCCTGCGCCGCCTGCTCAAGCTGTGCGGCTGCGCGCCCTTCTTCTACGCCACCATCAGTGAGGCTCGCCCAGCGCCCCGCCCCCGCCCCCATCAACTTCGACTCCCTTCGTTCCGATTCCATTGGTTTCATGTTTCCGACCACTCCTATGGTCGTTAGTCCCGTTTGTGTAATGGATGTTTTATATCGGGAGGTAGCGGCGTGCCTTCCCGATTGGGTGGTGAGATCCGGTGACAACCTACACGTCGGATTAGGGTGTTTCCCACGAAGGTATCTCCCGCGAGCGAGGCGCCGGCTCGACCGGAACTAGTCTTAAACTCCCCATTGGTCTCCCGTCATATGTAGTTGGGCAGTGCATGTAAGTGTGAGTGTGAAAAAGGAGAGGAGAGGATAAAGAAGAGGGGGAAATATCGCCTGTTTACGAGGATATTGCTCCGACGAGCGCCTTTCTATCATCGCAGCCGGTGGCTACAATTCTCCTCCAGTCAGCGGCTGAACTCGACCTGGCCAGTAACTAATGCCGGGGCTCCAGCCCTAAGGCCTCTCGGGCAGCCCCAACAGTCAGACGCAGGGCTGACTGGGCATAACGCAGCTGGTGTACTTCTTGAATCTATGGTTAATGCCGTTGATGGATACATTAATATTTGATACCGATACATCGATTAGTTTTAGAGATATTCTGCTTCTCAAACTACAGCGATGCAGTTCTTTTGTGTTACCATCCGTGAGACACAACTGTTGCATCTCTTGGGGTTACGATCGATTATTTTGATTCCGGGCGCGTCAACTACTAAGGTCAGTAGCTGTCACTAGCTCTGTGACCTTCCTCCCGCGCTGGAACGGAACATAGGAACCGCTCTGTAGTTGCTCTCCGGGTTTTCCCACGTCCAGGGGTCACTAGGTCTAAGCTCCCGGCTCTGAGTAATGTGATGCACGTGTCTGTGTGGATGTAGGGGCAACGTGGCGCGCGGTCCGAGGTTCGGTGGATCGGGGACTGCTCCGAAACCCATCCGAGGAGCTGCAAATACTCGTACCTTTCTCGACATAAGAGGACCTGCAAAACATGGATTATGACTGCATTGTGTATTTAAGGAAGTAATTTATCACATATAGGGGGAAGAAAAATCCACCTTTTTTGTTTAAAGAACCTCCAAAAGCAGGTTTTCTGTGAAGAAATCTACATTTTCCCGCATTACGATACTGCTCAGTTTTATACAAGAAAGTAATATTATTTGCAAATACGATATGGATATTGTTTAATGGTCTTGAATTAATATTTTGTTTTAATTTTGCTTATCCTAACTTACGAATAATTTGAATGCTGCCGATCTGTGCTGAATTACATCTAGGAGAAGATAAGGAAATGCTGTATCTGTGTCGCGGCAGATTCTATCGGCTGCGCTTCCTTGGCGCAGTGTGGGAAAGGAGCGGGCCCAGCTGAGGTGATGCTCCAACGGAGAGCATGGACTTACCACCGAAGTGCAGCGCCGGGCCGAGAGTATGTTGTGCTGGGAGAGCTACGTTGAGCCAAGAAGTTTAGTACTTCGGTCACTATGCTACAGGCGAGCAGGCTCACAGGGCAGACTTCATTGCTGTATACATGCGCTGAATAATCTTTTGTTGATTTTTACTCTATGTTTATTTTCGGAACATAACAGTAAACATTGGATTGAATGAATTAGACATGCTGTACCGTTCATGCGCTCTTTTTGTAGTTTCATAAACTCGTAATACGAGATGAGAAGATTAAACAGAAAGCTTGTCGATGAATACCTCGCAAAGTAAATAATAGATCTAAAATAGGAGGTGGTGGATGTTTTGATTGAAATATGGCCTATAGGAGAGTCCGCCTGACGGTATACCCGCGAAGAACACTAACACCTAATCCGTAGATAGAATTTTCACCAATCGACCAATTACCAATTTGGATATTCCCCGAACGTTCTGGTAAATTAAACGGCTTCTCCACATTACTTTTTAATTATTAAATAATACGTAATGGGTCTAATTCAGCCCCTGGCTGGAGGAAGCGACCGGTTGCTCTGATCGGTAATTTTCCGGGGTATCGTCTACCAAAACCAGGCGAAAGCCAGAGCAGCGCCCTAACAAACGGGATGTAATATACAATATGATAAAATTAGGTAACCGTTTACAATAAAAGTAGAAAGGATCTGCCGTTCTAACACTGATAAGTTTTACTTGAAGTTAGTTTTTTATAAGGACGTGTTAAATGTTTAGTCTGTCGCTTCTCCGATGAAAAATTCGTTGTATTTTACAGTACCTTGCTTTGCCAAATGTTGGCTAGGAAGCTCCATCTCTCAACCACATTCATGAAAAAATCATGTGTGAATGTAAAAATGCTATTTAGGAAGCTTGCAATTTTTCTAATGTTTCTTACATTGCATAATTTATATATAGTTTTACATAATTTACATATTGTTTACTTCTATTCGACAAATCCTGTTAATTTTAAATGAAACTATTGTCATTTATAGAGAACAAGAAGATATGTGGTGTGGATGACCTCGGTTGTTTAGTCGAAAAAAACGGTACGTTGTGCAATGATGTGTATTTTTTAAGCAATGCATGAGCGAAAGAGAGACTTATAAGATGCATTTGTTACAGCAAAATTACTGGATGAAAGCAAGAGTTGCAAATGTGAACTCGGGTGCATGAACACTGTGTACGAAGTGGAGAAACTGGAAGATGGACCTTCGTAAGTATTTAGTATTTAATTTTGAGAGTACTTCCTGACAAGACAGGTTAATCAAAGCAAATAAACTACGGCACATTGTGTAATCATGCCCAACATTGTCTATTCTGAAAATAAAACATTAGTTTATTCGATTTCATTAAATAGATTCTTTTTGTAGAGAAATGAGCTCTTACACACTGCAAACATTTATTTTTCAGACGAAAGTCAAGCGACATAGAAATGAGTTTCGTTTCGTGGCCAATTGTGCGCTACAAGAGAGAAGTTCTGTTCGGCTGGGTTGACCTTTTAGGTAAGTCACATTCTGTGTCATGGACTAAGAGCAAGCTACGTCAGTTGCTCCTACTTAGGAAAAAGGAGACAATTATGTTAATTATATTATGAAAATGTGACTACTGGAAGTAGTGCAGTTTAATTTCTAAATTTCTATTAAGATCCGATGCTGTAGCATCTCCTAATCAGTACCGCGGGTGCACGGTAGGACTCTGATCTTCCCGTCGTTCCGAGGGAAGCTACGCGCTCTTCGAGGCAGTTGAGCTTCTTGCAGGCGGCGAGCTCAACGTAGATCCGAATACTGATTGTGGCAAACAGGGGCGGCCAGAAAAAACCGGAGACTGAAGCAATTGATACTCGGGATCTCCTTTTTCAAGAAAACATTGATAAACAGAATTCATTTCCCTAAGCATTAGAAATAACTTATAGCGTTAAATTTGGTTTAGAGAATTATATTTTAAATTTCTTTGGAATGAAAGAAAACTGCAGTCTCCATGAGGTTGGAGCCAAGGGGCAAGTGGCCCCTCCTCCTTTCGGAGTCCCACGCCGCAAACAATTCACAGTGCACTTTACAGTGCTTCATAGCCCTTGAAAATTTACTCATATGTAATTGGCCCGGTGCTGAACAAGCCATGTGAATCCGAGTGCCCAGCACGGTGAGTTGCGTGTGAGAGCGCAGGGTCATTGCGCCACCGCGTTCGCCTCCGTCGTGTGTCGCCAGTGTCGTTCGGCGGCATCGCGGGGCTCTTCCTGGGCTTCAGCCTGCTGTCGGGCGTGGAGATCGTCTACTACTTCACGATGCGCGCGTGCTGCATGCTGCTGCGCGATGCGGACGAGCTGCGCCGGCTGCAGCACGCGGCGGAGACGGCGCCGCGCCCGCCGCTCGACCTGGCGCTCACGCCCTACTTCCTGCAGCCGCAGCCGCCCCCGCGCGGCGAGAAGGGCGCGCAGGCCGGCGTGACGCGCGTCAAGCCCGCGCTGGACGCCCAGCCCGCGCCCGTCGGCCGCTTCTACCCGCAGCCGCGCCACGGCGTGCTCCGCCGGCCCTACCTGCTCGAGTACCTGCCGTGATGAGGGGCTAGATGTGAATGAGGTGCAGAGATAGAAAATGGAACGGTATACAAGGAGAGACGCGGTTCGGAAAGACTCCAACCTGTCAAGTTGGATAATAGGCTTAAAACAGGCTGACTATGGAGAATAGCAGCTCCTTTAGGCTAGCGATCTGTCGTCAGCCTGTACTCGCTTCTGTGCGCCGACTGCTGTACATGCCATCTCTTGAAGAGAGTTGGGGAGTGGACCCATGGAAGTATTGACGTGAAATTGTCTAGCATATCGACGGTTGTGGGAAATTTAGAGCCTTGGTTGGAAAAATACGTATAGGTTATCCTCAAATTATATGGTTAATAGAAATTTGATGTAATTTATGGATGCTTATCTGAAAACTGTGCCGAAATTATTGAAGCAAATGTCTGTGGAATATGTTTCTTGTAGTGTAGTTTGCGGACTCCCTAATAGTAAACAGGAGTGCCTCATAGTGTCGGCTGAATGTTTGTTAACCATCTTTATCCTACTCATTGTCGAGGCACTGAGTGTTTTAAGACCTGCCTTGAAGAAAATGAGATTGATTCTCGAGTTCGTTTCATTAAAGGAGAGTAGAATTGCCCCTGACGGCCTGTGAAAATGCTGGTGTTTGTCGCTACAGAGAATAGAGCGATCTTCTCGGAGAGAGTTCTAAATGTCATCAACCCTCCGCGTTAATCAGTAGTCCAAAAAACAGGCAGACAATGGAGAAGAGCATCCAACGTGGAGGCGAGCCCTGTCCAGCAGCTTCTGTCACTCAGTGTGCTTTGACGGCCGTACTTGATCCAGTTCCTGCCTTGAGTCTTTGGAAGCGAACCTACAGAAGTGATGTTATCTCGGTTCTCGAAGAGGGTGGACAATGTAGATGCTTGATGAAGAAACGATTTCGGATTATTCTCAAATTAATAGGCGGAGTGATGTGACGTAATGTATTGGTGTTCAACGGAGCAATCATTGAAGAAATTGACTGTGGATACGCTTTTGGTAGTGTGGTTTGCGGAATAAAAAATAATGAACCGAAGTCCCCAATATTAAGAGTATCGGGTGCATATTCGTCAACCTGTGTTGGGGTTAACGGGGAGCGGAGAATAGCACATTCTTTACGAAATCTTGGAAATGATGGAGATAGGATCACGAAAGTTTATTATTTAGCACAAAGTGTTCGGCGCGTCTTCATCACCCTACGCTTCAGCCTCATGTTGGGCGCTAAGATATGAATGAAGGTCGTATACTTCTGAGACAGACAGGTAAAATTGAGATAAAATGTTGTTATTCAATGCGTTAGATTAGTTAGTATGAGGAAGTGTGATACCGGATTGATAATTGATCCCATATTTTGACTCGGCAAATAGAATCCACCAATAAAAAAGACAGAAGAAGGGAAGAACAGGAAGTATGGCTCTCGTAACATTGAGCAAGGAAAATGTAAATATTACTTTCAACATAAGCGAAAACTATTTTTCGATGACACTTGCTCATCACATCAATCGAATTGCATAAAAAAAATTATTTTACACTCCGGGAAGCAATCATTTCGATAGAAAACTTATGAAAATACAGATTGTTTCGCAATTTGTTTTGCAGCTTCGCAAGTTGTTTAGCATTTTGCAATTTTGCTATTTGTTTGGGAATGTATTTTTATGTATATTCAATAATTTTCAACGAAGTCAAAATATTAATTCTTGCGTTAATAATTATCACGAGACAAATTATTTACCTTCATGAAGAAAGTTTACCTCCATTACCAATTTAAAAGTAAAGTTTCGGGAAATAATGAATATATTTAACCTGTACTTATTAGAACTGCTCGCTTTCCCAGTGGGGCAAGTGCCAGTCCATGTTGCTGTGTGACGAGACACATCGCTGCTCAGGTAGCGAAGACCAGAACCGGCGTAGGTCAGGCAAGCACACGCAGCTATTAGAACAGAAACCTTAGAGAACATGAGGACTTGTGTAACGAAAGCACATTAGCGGCGGGGATTAGGTAGTTCTTGTATCAAAATAGGCTTAGTATGTTTTCATAAGCATTTTTTAAGAAAATAGGCAAAAAGACAAAATGATATTTGCTATACACATTCCTAAAGACCTTCACATGAACTCATATTAAGACAATTTCGTGATCTCTTGACCAATAAAGATTAGGAATTTTGCCTGTTAAGCATCCGGATTTAGCAATGAGCGTCTGAGAGAGAAAAAAAAATACTATAGAGGTGCAAACAGATAAATGGAATTGAGACTCTTTTAGAATGTCTAGAGTAAGTGACGAACAAATGATAATGTCTAATGTTTTACTCTAAATTGCATGGTAATAATTCTTTCATTACAATAAAAATAATTATTGTCTATTAGAGCATTCGTGTGAAATATATACTGATTTCTCCAGACATGAGTTGTAATTCGTGGTTTACATTTTCTGTCATATATTTATATTTGGAAGCAATAAACTTTATTTCCCATAAGAGAACTAACATCAAAATGTAAAAATGATTTTTTACTCTCTAAAAATGATTGTTCATAAATCTTCGAATAAATACATAATTTATCCTACGAAAAGATAGATTGATGTATATTCAATTATCATTTTCTTTCCTTGTGTTTAATTATTTGACTTACGTTTATTGACAGGATTGTTAAAAAACTATTTTTCAACGATTTATTGAATTAGATATTGGAAAATATTGTGCAATTAAGAAATTATTTTATGGAAATAATATTTTTCCCGGTAGCTTATGAAGACTTCGAGATTGAACAAGAATGCAATGGAAATCCAAGAATGCCAAAGGTAAACCAAACAAAATGGCTGCTGATTCCCTCACTCCTCAATGCCACTATCACTAAAGGGAATGAAAAGTGTGTTAAATGTTCTATGCGGTGCACAGTGTGCTATTTTTACCTGATCCCGGGTTAATACCATCCCCATCCCTGTACTTAATGGCAAGTAATGTTCACAATTGATGAGCATTCACACAATTCATTATTTCTAACTCAAGTAAACATTTTTACGTTGAATTCTGATTCTAATTATAAATGGCAACCTCAAATAATTATAACATTTTCCAACGAAATGTCCGCGATTTCGTTAAAAGGTACTTCGTAATTATGACAGCACTGACTTGACGATGCAATTTATATTATACCTTATTATAAGTGGAACATACACACAAATTGGATTGTGAAGAATAATTTCTTATCACTCATCTTTAAGAAATATTTTTTCTTTGGATTTTTTTAAAATAGAGATAGATAATGTTATTTATGTAACATGGGAGAAATCTGTGTTACTAATTTATATTGGCCACAAACGTTGGAAGGAAATTAAGCAGCCTCCTGTCATGTGCGATGTGTCTGTGGTTTTGTTAGAGAGGAAGGAACTCTGGTAAAATACATAAACAATGAAATAGGTTCAGTTTGACTGAAAAATGCAAATATTTTATTGTTTTGTATTGCATATATTCATACTGCACGTACCTCACTGCACTTGATAAGACAGAGCTGATATCAAACCTTTAAGGAAGATGCCACTCGGTATTAAATATTTGGCATTCACGTGATGCGTTATGGGATATCAACTTTTTCATTTTCTTAGTATGTAAAAAACTGTTGAACTGTAGACACATTATACTGGTATATTATTGCAGTATTCGTATTTTCGACACTACAGAAGCTGTGTGCAGGCTGCTGTAGTTTTCGTGGTTTCTCTAATCTACACCAGCCAAATGCAGGAGCAGAACTCTAACAAACGGGCCATGGACCGCGCGCGATTTTTCTTTTCTCTTCATTGTCCAATCTTCACCCCTTACCCTCCCACTCATGCACTACACTAGCACACTTTTCGGGATACCAGCAGGGGCGTAGATATTGTTCCGACAGGGCTGGCGTCCCGCTGTTGGGAGGTGACTGGTTGGGGAAAGCCCCGCAAGTAGATGTAGTTCGGCGCCGGACCTCGTCAGCGAGCGGAGGAAGATCACCGCCACCTCCAGCGATGAAAATATACACTACACTTACGGGTATATTGACGCGCTCGGAATAACTAATCAGTAAAAAAAGCAGTATTCGTGAAGAATTCGTTACAATATTTAATATACGGCAGTGTAATACGAGAGTACTTCATTGTTCGTGAGCTTTGTGCGTGCTACCTCCTTGAGAAATCAATTGTATTGTTTTATTCCTCAGCATTTTTGCTGGTGCAGGCCATTAGTTGGTCGTATTTCGCTGTTCTCTTCATGAGAAAGGAAACTGATTCCATTGATACGCCAACAACAAGAACAACAACGAAATGGTGGGGTCAGAAAACCTATGATTCTGTGTTAAAAATGTGACATAAATAAGTGTGAAAAACTACAGATGTCAATGGGGAGGAATAGTGAAGTCTTTTAAAGTTTACAGATCCCCACGTTGAGCCAGATCGATTAAAAATATTCGTTTCGGTTAAAATCACTTTGTGGTGTTTGTGAGTTATGTTGTTATCGTTGATATAGCAACGAATGCTATACAATGTCATTTAGATCAATGGATTATGTTTTTCTAAGCACATTATTGGGTTTATGCGCAACAAAAACGTGGTTTACTTACGACGGGTGATTATAATATATTGGATGAAGAGAAATTTACGAATGAAATCTGAATTTTTAGAGAAATGTAATTTGCAATATAATATTATTTTACATAACCGTTACCAATAATACAAAAAATTGATGTTTCTTGAAGTTTCAAATTCGGTGACTCAATTAGTCGCGATATTGTCCCGTAACAAATTACCTTGGTGCATATTGTATTGTGTGGCCTGGTGTAGGAGTATTGACGCCGCGCCGTCACGTGGCATTCGCTTTGCGGGACTTCCTGAAACATTGAAGCGCACGTAACAGCGACGCGAGCATGCCAGGCGCCCCCCCCCCCCGTCCTCGCTCCGCCCGCGTCACTCCACCTCAACGACATCACCGTGTTGGCCACTCCAGCGACCGCCAGCCATCCTACCCCCCCCCCCCCCGTTGCAGCTGTTGCTGCTCCTTCCACACAGCCTCCAGCGTCCCCCAACTCTCCGCCCCAGACATTCCAAATGCCTACATATTCCCCACGGAACCTAACTCTCCCACCGCTCACCGCCGCCCTCCGCCCCCACTACTCCGCCGGCCCTCGCCCTCATTGCCGTCACCGCCACGTCAGCCTTAACGAGTCACCACCATCCCAACTCCAACCACATTTGCCGCCCTCATGGCTCACACCGAATCCGCCGCCCCGTGGCTTGCCAGTGGGTGCTTCCAATCAGATTGCCCTTGCGTGATTAGAAATGAGACCCTTGACACATTCGCCCGATGCCGAGTTTACAGAGCTCAGTAGTGAAGGTGATTCGTATGTCGTATCATTTCATTAATTGGTAATATTTTCTTAACATGAGGGATTACGGTGTCATTGTCCTTTGCGAAATTTAATGGCGGATGAATTTGTGTTAGATGAGGTGATTTGCTGCTGCATTTCATTGATATCGTCCTTCAACATCGAACAAGTTTTACATGCTAGTTATCGAATTTACATCCGTTTTAAGTTAGAGTTAATTTAAAAAAACGAAATCCACTGTGCCGCTTGTGTGGGAAATCAATATCTACATAGTTTATTTTCGACATTATCCGACATATTCACAAAATTCCTTTCTTTCTCGAAATCCAAAGCCCTCTTCGTGAAAGTACTTCATTTCTCTACACTCGGCCCTCGCTCTCCCCTTCCTTCAGGGGCTGAAAAGCGAACATGCGACGCTAGTTACCTTTCAAGGGCAGTGCAATAATCTTAAATATGTGATGATTTCATTACAAGGAGAATAAATTGGCAACAACATTGTCAACGATATAAATATGGCAACAAGAAAGGCAAGTGTAAATACAGTGGGAGACTCCCTAGACCTGGATAGTTGGATTGGCACCTCAGAGGCCTGAAATTCGTATTAATAGAACCCATGTTGGTTGCGCGGTCGAGCAGAATAAAATAATGAGGCTTTCAGATTTTATCAGTATTGCAAGGCAATGTAATATAAATAACACAATGATCGAAAAAATAACTTTTTATTATTTTAATAATTAAAATAATTTAATAAAATAAGCACTGACAAAATACAAAGAAATATTGCTTCAAACGTTCATTTTCAACTTATACTTCATAGTTGCGCCCCTGGTTAACATTTTTACAATTAGCACAAAAACGAACGATCTTTTTTTATTTAATTGTTCGTTCGTAACTGTTCTGGGGAGAAGGCCAATAGCCGTTTTTCGCGCCGGTTTTTTCAACCCAGAGCTCCTTCGGAGCCTACTCCTCTTGCAATTTTCCGGACAGGTGTGCCTCGTACGCAACTCCGGTAAAGCAGAGGGGGAGCACACGTTTTCGCCGAACTCGCTCGAATGAAGAATGTTTGAAACCTCTTGCTCAGTAAAACGTGAGATCTCGTTAGGGCGAGAAATTACCGGAGGTATTTAAATTTGTGGGGTACCTGCCAGGGTTCTTACTTGTTACGTGCATGACATGACGGACTAAACAATTCCTCCCTCCGAAACACAGCCGGTATCGGACAGTAAACCTAGGTTCTTACTTTGTTTTCAAGACCACATTTGCATCACCAAAAATTGCGCATCAATTAAGGCAAAAAAGGAATGCACAACAAGTTAGTAATGTTCAAAGGGATACCATTTATTCAAGCACATTAATAAACAGATGTCAGACAAATCAATTGTCAATGGCGATGAGAAGAAATGCTATCCGTTTCCTAGACTTGTATTTTATAATTTGAGAATAATTTTGAAAAAGTAAGTGTTGCGGAACAAAGCAAAGTAGTTAAGAGAAATGGCTATGTAGCGAACAAATTTGATCATATACGCTACATGAAGTTACGAAAACTTGGATATCAATGTGTTGAATGTAACCATATTCAGTCATTTATACAGTCACGTATTTCTTCTGATAAGCATTTTCCTTAACCAGAACTGAAGGCAAGGAAACAGTATTGCAACAGAACATATTGCTTTTACAAGACAACTAATTCATTATTGAGGCAAACAACAGGGGGGGGGGGCGACTCAGGGCATCGACTGATGTCACTGCAGTGCCACTGACAGGGACGTGCACTATGTTCGCGTTCCGACGGTGTCAGGATTTTCGACACTAGTTAGATAGCTATGTCGAATTCAGACACTGTCTGGCGGTGAATCCTAGCGCCCAGCTACTCTCAAAGGTAATTTTCCGTGGTTTCTCCGATCAACACCAGGTGAATGCCGGAGCAGTACCCTAACACACGGGTCATGGGTTGCGCGCGTCCTATCCTCACCCCTTACACACGCACTTACACTAATACACACTCCACTGCAACACATGCCGAGAGACCAGTCAGGAGTTTAGAGCTTGTATCGGCTGGGGCGGCGCCTCACTGGTGGGAGATACCTTGTTGGAGAAAACCCCGCTAGTCGAAAGGCAGGTCTGCGCTGGATCTAACCATCCAGCGGGGGAAGATCATACACTACACGTACGGGACTAATAACTTTGTTAAACTTGTAGACTAATAACTACTTTAATAATAAAAGTTGTCGCGCTTCGAACTATGAATGAATCAATCAATCCAGACAAATATAGTGAACTAAATATTGGTGAAAAAGTAAATGATTGCACAGTTGGCATACTTTGGTCTACAGGCAACGTCAAAAATGTAATTATCATTGTGAACTGAATTTACCAAAACTGAATAATTCACATTCTGTTTATTAGCATGTTTTCCGGACATTTCTGCAGTTACTACTTCTAATGATACATTTTCTTGGACTGACCCAAGAGTAAGAAAGTTGTTTTTAATTGGAAGACAAATTTCATTTGCAGACTAATTCGTAAAAAGAAAAAATAAGAGATCTAAACATTGTGAGAAAGATGGGTGATTACTCAGCTACCATAGTTGACCTGTATTCAACAACTAGAAAACACGTTATTGTTCAAATACTTATCATTATTTTATTAATTGGATCTTTTTCATTTACTATCTTGCAAATTTACTGCCCAGTGACATCTAGTGTGCTTTTGCATACCCAATGCCTTCATAAATTTACATTCTTCGCGAATCCATTCAGATACCTGCTACAACTTCTACTATCAGTAGTTTAATTCCCGGTATCTTGACATCACTCGACGCGCGCATTCAAAATTTCTCAAACGAACGTTTCACCCCATGTACAACCCCAGACATTCCAGCCATAAGCACAGTTATCTTTCCTCTGAGTGACGATTTCCTTACCCAACACTAAGCCCCAGATTCCAAATTTTGAAGATGTATTAATTTTATAGGTTATCAATATTTTTGAAAGAGGTACGTGTTGAGGAATAAAACAGCAACGCAGTCGACTGACAAATTTCATATGTGTTCAAACAAATGGAAAGTTATTTTTCTTGTTAAGTAAACCGAGTGATCATCGTTTTGAATACTTCAGGTTATGTGTAAAATACTATAAAACCGCAACATTCCAGCCGTAGGCGCGGCTACCCATTTCCTGTAATGAGCCATCTGCGTCAGGCGCCGGGGCGCATGTGGAGGGTCGTGTTGGAATATTCCGAAAGGTTCACGACGGGTGGCGGGGGGTGCGATAAGCGTGGGCGGCGTGACAACCCAGGGACTGCGATAGGCGTGCTAATGATGTCTAGCACGCGAGTGGGCCCTGATGTGCGGAGAAGAGGGGACAAAGGCGGTGGGCGAATGGATGTGGAGTGAAAGAGGACGACAATGAGAAAGATGAGAGGCGATTTCTGGCTCGCTGGCAGGTTTGCGTAACCACTTATTTTATTCCTTTCATTGATCCTCATATTCATTCATATATTGTTATTTTAAAAAGAGAGTGATTTATTATTTCTCATTTTTTTACTTTCTCGCCTTACTACGTACGTTGTAGAAAGAAAGAAAGAAAGAAAGGAATGTAACGATGTAGCAGAAATAGGAGACTGTGCAAGTTCTAAATGAAAAGAAACTTTCAACATATAGGTGGTGGGTTCGGTAATCTTCGGGCGCAGTACGTAAAAGATAAGCTATTAAAAATGGAAATGAAAACAAAACTAATGATGCTACAGAATGGAACAGACTTTCTCGAACTACTTAATTTTCCAATTTATTTGGTCTGGCCTAGCTTTACGGTCTTGCTCCATTCTCTTGCGTCTGCTCCATCTATGAAAGCCATCTCAAAGTACTTTTTTAAAAATGTCCTCAACTTTTTTTTCCTAATGGTAGGACAGAAATATCACTTTAAGAATATTAAACAAGAGTAAACTTCATCCTGTAAGGAAATTTTTGTTTAAAATTTTTGAGCCGATTTTTCAGAAAACCTGCGTTTAAGCGTTACTGTAAATACGAAATTCGAAGCTCTTTTTCACAGAAACTTTTCGAGTTTTCGAAAAACTTCGTTGGAAGTCATTTGTAGCTCTTCCACTCACAAATGCAATAATGCAATTTGCTGGAAATCATTAATGTTAAATGCGTGTGTAATTTTTGAGAAGAACAAAAGAAAAATTTATGTTATGTCATTTTAAACAGTGCAATTTGCACTGTCCTGCTCCCAATTAGCACTGCACGAAAGGTTTGAAAAAAATCTTGGAGCCATTTTTGAGTAAATGGCTTTTGAACGTTTCAGAAATGCGAAATTTTGAGCTTGTTTTCACTTGAGTTTTCGAGAAACTTGAAAGACACCATTTAGAGCACATGTCCTTATAAATTTAGTAATGTGAACAAATCGCCAATAATGTAAATATTAACGTGCGAGACTAGTTAAAAAATTACATTTTTGTAATTTTTGAGAGACCAAAAAATTGAGCAAAATGGCGTTTATGCCATC